CTTTCCATGCACAGTAAATGTCTTTTTAATTTTAATCCATTTAGAAAGCAGTTTTTATAGAAGTCAAAATATTTTACTATTTCTGAGAATGTTTTCTTAAAGACGCTTTATTCAAGAAATTTTTTATTTATCTTAAAAACTAATTTTTAATTAATCGTAGGATTAAGTAACCCAAATTAATTTTTGCTCAATTTTTAATTAATAATATTAATTAACATTTCTAAGCTTTAGTGTAACTTGAAAGAGCTGTTGTAATATACATTCACGAAAATATATATCAGGTTATGGAAAAGCATTGTACTTTATGTTTGCTAGACTAATATTTGTATATAATTCGTAGATAAGACATATAAAGAAATGACATTTTCATCATTTTCTTCTCTGATAAACGAATCAGAATGAGGCCAATAATTGCTTTATGAATAAATAGCAATTCAATATTCGAAGCAATTATATCTTAACAAAAGTATCCTCGTTTATTTACAGAATTCTAAACGGAGATATCTAATTATTAGTATCACCCAATAACCAATTTCACGCTCAATGATTTTTATCAATCCTGGAAAGTTGCACTGAAAGTAAAAATAATTTAGTAATTTGTGATTAAAATTAAATTTTAGAGGGTGAATAAAAAATGGAGTTTCCTAAAGAATCTTTTATTGTCCGATTAACAAAAGACTCTTCTAAAATTTTACGCAAAAACCATAAAATCGGGGACAAATTTTATGATTTAAAGCTAATCACAAAAATGTTGTGTTTGGTATCGTTTGTTCTTCCTCCTCTTGGTAAACAAACGAAAGGAAGAGAAGTGAAGAGAATATTATTGGAATACACAACAACACTCGCGTTTTCGGCTTATGTACTGCTTGATATAGCAAACGTTATTAGCGTTGCTTGGTCCCTGCCAGTAGGACTAACCATTTCATTTTTTGTTACGGATTTTTCTGGTTTGACAATCCGCTGTGTTTTATTCTACAAAAGGAAAAATTTGTTTTATTTCTTGAAAATACTGCTGAGAACGCATTTCTCACTAAACACTGGAAAGGCTTCTCGCAAATCGCTTAAGTTGGTAGGAGGATTTATCATCGGCGTATTAATGCCATTGATTTTCCTTATAGAATCATTAGAAGTGTGTTATTCGTCGTCTCGGGTATCTCGTGCTTTAAAATCGGCGTTTTTCGGCTGGAGCGGCCAAAATCAGTGGCAGAATTGCTTGATCTTGCTCACTTCCGATTTCATCTTGTACAATCAGAAATTCCTTTTACCGGGATTCATAATCGTTTTAATCTGCTACTCTTTCAGAATATTGCAAGAAATACTGATCATGTTTTCGGACAGTCTTCGGTCTCAAAACAACGGAGACGCACTGTTAGCGTATTACAAAAAATACTTACGAAGAATATTGCAATGCGTCGATTGGTTTCAGAAGTCAATGTCACTCCTGCTGCTGGTAGTGTTTGGTTACATGACTGCTTCAATTTTTACAGTTTCAACCTTCGTTATGAGAGCAAGAAATATATGGGAGCGCTGGCTTCTATTTTTACCTAACTTCATTTTAACATTTGCTTCGCTCGTGGCGTTTTATTTTACTAGTATACGTGCAGCTGATGTTCATGGTAGTGCAGTTAAAGTTAAAGATTCTGTATATGAAATTGCAACCAAAGTTGCATTTATCGATGATGAACAGCGTGGCCTGTTGTTGACACTGGTGAATGACTTACCATCAAGAGTTGTTATTACCGGATGCGACTTTTTTTCATTTAAAAGGTCATTTATTCAAAAAGCTGCTGGATGTATGGTAACTTATGGGATAATTCTCTCACAGCTTGATAAATAAAATAATTTGAAAAATTGTTCTTACAAAAACATGCATGTACCGGGTTGTGATTTTCCAATCCAGCGGCTTTTAAGATCCAATCTATTGTTTACATTTTATTTAAATAATGAACATGGTGCGTAGCGCTTTTAAAAAAGTGCTTAAAGGTGTTTATTTTTGATTTTTGCTTTAGCTCTTAAAGGTGTTTTTTTATTGGGTGTTCTAAATAAGTGCTTAATTTTCCTTCTTCGAAAATGAGATTTTTTTTAATTATGTGGATTTTCTCCACGTATTATGCAAAAGCACGGATTTCACATTGTTCTATTTAACGTTTTTACAATTCATTCAAACACAATGAACTTTGGCATACAAAAACATGCATGTACCGGGTTGCAATTTTGCAATTCAGCGGCTTTTAAGGTTGCGTTCAAAGCGGTTCAGCGGTTGCGTATGAAAGCGCCAATCATTTTACATGCTTGATGAAATACTTGCGCTGGGTTCGGTGAGATTCTTGTACTCTCGTGTGCAACTCTGCTGCAGTTTGTAAGATATTCTCAATTTCAGGCTTCATTTTCCACCCTCTGAAATCGAACTGAAAAATCTCGTGATCTTTTTATGGTTTCTAATGTAATCAAGAAAAGAGTTCTTTATCAGAAACAAGTTATTTTCTCATGTTTATGTAATGACTTCGAAAACTATTTTGCATTTTATTAATGTATATAGTGCCTAAAAATATTCTTTTAGTGCTTAAAAATACTTAAAGGGTGCTTATTTTTTGTTGAAAGATTTGGCTACGCACCCTGATGAAAAGCATTATTTTTTACTTTTTTTCAGTTTAAGGTGACACATTTTAAAGGAATTCAGATTTTTGACAAAACTTGTGACCAACTACAGCCAAGAGGAAAATCTTCAAAGAAGAGAGTGAATTGTTTAAGACCGTTGGATTGAAAATTAAAAACATGATTGACTAAAAACTACTACAACTGATTTTAGAGATTACTCCTACTATAAAGAATTTTTAAATCGATGACATGCTGATTCTTTAATTCACTTATTCATAAGCCAGTTATTCGGTCAACGGCTCATTCACTAATCCGTCGATTAACTTATTCAATAATTCAACCGTTATTTCTATTTACTGATTCATTTCAATACGCTCATTCAATGATTTATCAATTCGCTTTTTGATTCATAATGCTTTCAGACTTCGACCCCTCACATAGAATACAAGGAAGATAATATTAATAATAAGGAAGATGAAAATTATAGGTACAAGAGTATAGAATAAAGAAAAAAAATCAATATAAAAGTCAGAATAAGAGGGAGATAATTTTAGATTTAAGGAAAAAAATATTTGGGTAAACAGTTGAATTAATGCTAATTATATAATTTCAACATCGTGATAATGTTTAAATTCTATAAAAAGCATCATTATTTAGTACTCCAGTTACAATCCTAAAGAAGATCTTACTTGATAAAAAAAAATTCATTCGATTTAAAAATATACAGATTGGAAATAAAAGTCGACATGTTCCAAGCGCTCAAAAACATGCGCCCATACTCAAGACCTGCCAGCCGTGAAGAAGAAGAGACAAAATTTGATTTTAAATATAAAAGCAGAGAATAAAACGTAAAGGTACTTACGAAAATTGAAAAAAAAAGGCTCCTTCTTCCCTAGAGTGTGTTCTAAATGACAATTTGCAAAATAAACTTTGTCTCGGTACTTTAACTAAACTAACACTACTAACACTAACTTATACTCGGTGCACCGCTTTCAACAGAAACAATTAGTAATAATTAAGTCAAAAGGTGTCATGTCAGGAATGCCAAAAAAAACAGTTCTTTCTAGATATAACTACTACGTTGTCTTTTTAAATAATAAATCTATAAATAATTAAAACAAATTTTTTCTTCAAACTCCCCTTAATTAATTAATAAATAAATGTAAGTTGAAAGTGATTCTTTTTAAAAGTATTATTAGATAAAAGTTACCACTTGTTTTGAAAAAAACGTTTTTAATGTGTTGTGCCGAGGATTTATGCATCAAGTAATGTATTTAGATTTGTAATTAAATGCAAAAGTTTTGTATAAAAACAATGTTTATATAAAATACAATAAATGTATTTGAAAATAGAACATAAAAATAATATATATGGCACATAAAAATGTCAATAGTTTTTCTGTATCATCAGTGCAAAATAAAACTTCAACGCAATGTTATTAACTACAATCATTGTCATGTAATTAAGTACTAATTATGATAAAATAACAGATATAAATAATAAGTAGTTACAAATGTGATTATAAATAATAATTAACAATATAGTATTTATAGCTATAAATTCAAACACATATTTGTAAAATTTTATTCATCTTAATATCGTAATGGACAAAAAATATTAAATTTTTATGCCATTTATTTTAAATGTTAAACATAATATAAACATTATCCTCTTCATTACTTCGGTTCACATATGTGTCACTACTCAGCTTCTAAAAGCAAGCTATAAGAAGATTTATAGTTTCATCCTCACTGAAACACATGTGAACGTTTAAGCTTTCTGGGGATTCTAAGAGATGCAGAACATATACGTTATTTGGGTAGAATTTCACAGAAACTCGTGAAACTCGTGAAAGTGATTTTCGAAAAATGACACCAAGTCCAAGTGCTCAAAAATGATAGTAATTTCAAATAGTACATAATTCAGTTATTCTAAAAACAAGTAGTTCTGTGATGTGTATGAAGCTTTTAAATTTATATTTACTTAATATTTATAAATAATACAGTCAAGAATATGCAGATCCACGTGTGTGTACCTTAGTATCAAATGGTGAAATTTCTGATAGTGTATAGTAGTCAAAAAAAGTCTCATAGTCTAGTGAAATCTATATAAAATATAACTATTTAGAGAGATTAGATCGATTTAGATATATTTGTTTTGTGTACTTTAATTAATTGTGTTAGGTTAATTTTGAGGTACACATACATTTAATAACTTTAACTTTTGTGTTGTTGTTTTTTTCTTCATAATTTTGAAACTTTACCCCCAAGAATTAAATATTTATTTTATAACATTAGATATTATTAATTTAATATTATTTTATAACGTTAGATTATTTTCAATAATTATTTATTCCACGTGGAACGCATGATTAAAATAGTTTTGAAATTGATATATATTGATTAAAGTTTATTTTTCTTCTATATAATTATTAAATCTATTTATCATTGTTTTTAAATGGACCATAATATAACCATATACATGTTTATTCATTCCCACTCCAGGTGCAATTTAACATTTGAAATATTTATATCATTTTACTTACTTAAAACCTGAGGTCAACGTATGTGGACTTAAATTTATTAGCCCCCTGGAGGTATAATTCATATTTTCTTTATCTTAATATTACTTATGGCAGTAAAATAGAAATTCGGAATTGTAAAATATTTTTTTGCCATATACCTTTATACTTAAGTAGTGAAGAAGATGTTATATAAACATTATATTAGGAAATTATAAATTTCACGAACAAAATAAACACATTAATTAAAAAAATTATCTTAGTAATAAGTACGATTCAATAATAAACAGCCCCCTTGACGTTTGAAGTATTGTTAAAGAATAAGAAAATTTTGACGTACAAGATTTTCTGAAATATTTTCGTTTTCTAATAGTTTATAGGCAAATAAATACCCTTTTTTAAAGATGATATTTTTCTGTGACTTTAAAGTAAATAATCTTTTTTATCATATAAAAATAATTCGATAAAAATTAAATCAATTGAATTAAAAATTAATTGAATTAAATGTGACTTTAAAGTAAAATAATATTTTTTATCATATGAATAATAATACGACAAAAATTATATCAAATGAAATAAACGTGTCTTTAAAGTAAAATAATATTTCTTATCATATGAATAATGTTCGTTCGTCGAATATGAATATTCGATGAAATTAAATCTATTGAATTAAATGTGTGTCCTTGTAAATATAAACTGTTTGAAAATAAATTATTTTGAAAAATAATGATTTGAAGTTTCAAATTCTTGATAAATATTTTTTTCTTTAAATTGTAGTATTGACTAAAATGAAAAAACATCGAGTACATTTAACCCTAAACCATTTTTTATTGAAATATATTTTCTAAAATATTTAAATTCTCTCCTTTTTCTTGATAGTTACTGAATATCAATTGTTTAAAAACATGCATTAGGGTTAACAAATTAGAACAATGGCAAGCAGCTTTTATCTTCATTTTGCCTCCACTTTTAACTTTTTTTCCTCGATGTTCTGATATTCTATCTTGCGTAATGTTTACTTTTAAAATAGAAGTGGTGGTTAAGCTATAAGCACATTGATTTCTTTATTCGTAAGAAAAATAAATATTAGTTCTGATAGTATGTAATATAAGTAATTCCTTAAAGAGCAAATTATTTTGATTACGAAAAAGAGGTTTAGAACTCTAAAATTGTCATGAAATAAGCAGAGATAATAGTCTGACAAACTCATCTGCATCGAATTACATTGTCACCCATATTCGTTTTTTATTCTTCATAAATAGAATGAATAGGACCAAATTCTTTATTGTCAAGACTCTTTGCCTGTCTTATTTTCTATGAGTGATTAATTTTAAGGTACTAAACTTAGTTCTTCGTAACCAGCAGATGTTTTTCTCATTTTTATCATAAATACGATAATAACTGCCATTGCTAGTACTGCAACAGTCAGAAATGTTATTGCTAGTCCCAGTTTTACTTTTTTCAAACCAGGCATTATAATATGTTGTAAATGTTCTGTTGTTACTTCAGAAGAAGTACTGGTAGGTGTGGTAAATGTTGAGGAATCGGACGAAGTTTCTTCTGTTACGGTAGTTGATTTATCAATGTAGGGTTCATGGCTTGATGCCGTCGTTTTAATATCCTTTGACGTAGTCTCAGATGTGATTACAGTCATGTCAGTATTGGAAACTAGCTCTTCTGTAGAAGTCGTACTTTTGGGAGAAATTACAGTTGAAGAGCTCAAATCTGTTGGTATAACAGTGTCTGTAGAGACTTTCGAAACTGGTGTAGCATCAGAAGAAGTAATTGTAGAAGCTTTTAAATCTGCTGGAGTAGTATCGGAAGTAGAAGCGCTTACAGAGACTTCTGAAACTACTGGTGTAGCATCAGAAGTAAGAATGTTTGTAGAGGCTTTCGAAACTGCTGGTGAAGCATCAGAAGAAGTAATTGTAGAAACTTTTAAATCTGCTGGTGTAGTATCAGAAGTAGAAGCGCTTACAGAGACTTCTGAAACTACTGATGTAGCATCAGAAGAAGAAGTGATTGTAACTTTTAAAACTGCTGGCGTAGTACTAAACTTTGAAACATTATCTAAAGTCGAATCAGAATTAGTACTCAAGAGGCTCGTTACAGTGCTTGAAATTTCATTTCCAGATGTATGAAAGATACTGACACCTGATACAAAACTTGAATCTGACTTATCACTTGAAGCATCAGTTGAAGAACTTGCATCATCTGATCTAGTTGCAGCATCCGATGTAGAGCTAATATCATTTATGCCGGTTAAGGCTTTCGATGTTGAACTTGCATCATTTGAGTTAGTTGAAATATCAGTCGAAGTTGAGGTACTTGTTTTCGCTGAAATACTTAAAACTTCTGTGTTTGAATGCTGCTTTTCCTCAGATGTTAAACTAAATTTATCAGTTGTTATGTTTGTCGTTAAGCTACCATCATCTAAACTAGAGAGTTTTATTGTATTTTTTAATTCATTTCCTGAAGAGGTAACTGATACGCTAACATCATCAGAAGGCGTTGATTGAGGGAGAGATGACGGAGATATTTCAGTTGAAGACTCATCTTTGAAGTCATCATGTGTATTAACTCCTTCTTCATCTACTGGTATGTATTCTGAATCCTTTCCATCTTGATCATCCTCGATACCTTTTTCAGATAGAACAGATGATCTTCCATTTGAATGGTTACGCTGAACTTCAGGATCACCTAAAAAAATCTAACATTAGACACAGAGAAAAAAGCATATCTGTTTCATGCCCTACAAGCCAAAAAAAAATTTCAACTAACACAGCTTTCAATTATTTAAGAAATGGTAAGGTAAAAACCAGTACACTTTAATAAACAGGGTTGTTCAAAAGGATGAACCCAATTTGATTCATTTGTATTTAAAGAAAATGTATTTAATAATTTTATTTAAAATTAGTTTGTATTAAATTGGATATGAACATTGACACATAAGAAGGAAAGAAAGGCTCAATGCTTTGTTATTTTTTTAAAGCAGAGCAATGCTTCCCTTCTTTGCTGCACGAAAAACACCTACTCGGTGACCAAACTCGTCCCACAAGCGAAAAAGTGTGTCTTATGTTACTGAGCGTTCTATAGCAGTGAGGTGGTTCCTCCGGTCGGCTATAGCAGTTATTAGTAAAGGTATTAGATTTAAACAGCCTTAATCTTACATAGCCTTACAAGAAAAAGACTTGTGGTGCTACGTCAAGAGATCTCGGAGCATTGGGACAGCTGAAACAGTTCTCGCAAATACCAAAACACAGAAAATTTAATGCGACTTATTCACAACTGATGGTGAAGCGATATATATCTGCCTATTTGTATATCCAACCACACTATAATTACCAAAGCAGATGTAAAAAAAGATTCTCTAATCTTACTTAGTATGTAGACTGCTCATATCCAATGTGTATTTTGGGAAAGATAAATTAATGAAATTGGGACAATTTTTTTTAGTAACACTAAATTTGGGAACATCACTATATAAATTTCCCGAAAGCAATTTACTTGCCTAAAATTTTTGTTTTTACTTTTGTTTTTACTTTCCCACTATTAAATTTATTAAAGCCAAAAAAAAAACATATTACGCGGTTGCTAACTCTCCCCAATTCTTTGGAAACTATTATCTTATATTTAAAGTAGTACTGAAACTTAAGTTTATATATTTTTTCCTTAATTGAAGGAAATTAATTAAAAATGACCACTTCATCCAAATATATATCAATAGCATTGCTAATCATGTTCTCATGGCTTTAAATGCGAGGTAATGAGTATGTCATAAAAGTAAAAAGTAGTAGAATTTCATTTCATTCATATTCAAATTTCCAGTAACTATTCATCTCCTGACTACCACTACGCATATGGCTATAAGTTTGGACCAAAATTCTTATGGGCATTTCATTTGTTTCATAAACTGAAATAAATAAATAAGAAATATTATACAAGTAGAAAATATCCAATTAATAGAAAATTATGCAAGTTTTAATTTATTTCCTTTTTTTAACTGTTGAGAAAATAATAGCATAAGTAAAGTGGTAGGTTGTAAAGCATAAACGGTATAATTGACTATATTCAAATTCTCAGCATGTCACCATCACTTATCTGACACTCAACACCTATTTGAGACAAAGACTATTTGAGGTTGTTGCGAATTATTTTTTCGAGTGGCAGCGAAAAGCAGAACTTTGTGAAACNACGACAATTTTACACTTTAACGGGCTGCAGATCGTTATTCTATGAAATAACTAGTTAAACCATGAAATACAAGATAATTTTACACTTTAACGGACGCGATCAGTTAGTTCATGGAATAACTAGGTATTCTATAAAATAACGGATTTTATACTTTAACGGTAACATATATATATATATATATATATATACATATATACACTCACGCATACTATACATATACACACTCACTTGGTACAGAAGTTGCATCTTTTATGGAACTTGATTCTCCACTTATTGTATTTTTGAACTCATTTTCTGAATTGGATACCGATGCATTAACATCATCACGTACATACACAAAATCGGAGAAATCTTCGACTACTTTTTCAGGTAGATCAGATGATCTCTCATTTGAATGGATGCTTTGAAATTTATCGGCCTCTGAAAAAGGTTGGTATTATTCACAATGCGAAAACATAGTAATGCTACATCATAGGCGTCGTTAGGGAGGGACAAGGGTATATGTAAATTTTTCAAATTCTAAATAATTAAAGTTCTCTAAAAGTCCACTTCAATATTTCAGACAAACAGAGAAAATTTTCCTCGCTTAAATTCATCGACTAAAATTCATTATTTATTAATTTATTTTCATTGATTTAAATTCATTAAAGGTAAAAACAGGAAAGAGATTAATCTTTTCAGAGATATTTATCAGATTTAAGATTCTTTTTTATGAGTGAAATTTATAGAATTAGTGTGATAGTGTAGTTAAATTTATCCCTCTGAAAAGTTGGATACATGTGAAGCCAATGTATCACATCCAAGAAACGAAAAGAAAATTCATTCTTGAAAAGTAAAAGAAAATAATTAAATTAAAATACAACTCATTGCTGTAATGCATTTTTAACTATCACTAAATTACGCTAACCAGTGTCCTGGGAAAACTGAAAAAACTCGAAAAACTTTTTTCTTAAATCATGTTCAAAAACTTTTCCGTTATAAAGCAGTTTTAACGCCGTACTGGAGATACTCTAATATGCTATTAGCGATGTTACAAAGCAGCTGTTAACACTAGAAAGACAGAAAATTAGTATATAGCTATATTGCCCAAAAGCAGTCAAAATGACTGGATTGTGAATGCTTAAATAAATTTGTTGAAAATTAATTTGTAATATTTTTTATATTATTTGCAGTTATATAGAAAGTTATTAGTAAATATTAGCAAAAAAAAATTATATGTTGTACAAAAAGTCACAAAATTCTAAGAAATTGCGTCATTATATACACCATTGTTTTTCTAATTGAAATTAAAAGCAGTCAAAATGACTTCCTTACGCAATCTAGCGTTAACGTCACTGCAGAACTACTCTAATATGCTACTGGCGATCTTAAAAAGCAGTTGTTAACGTCTCACTAGAACTACTCTAATGTGCTATTGGCGATGTTACATAGCAGTCGTTAACATCACACTAGAGCTACTCTGATAGGCTGTTGTCGATTATTTTTGTAAACCTTATAACAATCCATAAAAGTCTTATGAATGAAAATTTTGATTACGTTGTATCAACCAATGAAAATCATTGCAATGTTCAAACGTATCTTCGTATCACGTGATGTGAATATTAATAAATCTGGAAAAATCCAAATATTTTTGGTAGTCATCAGCATAAAAGCTACGATGGTATTTACCTGCAAATTATGTATTTATCCCTCACCGGCATTTATGCGTAATTATTTAATTATTTGTCAGCCCTTCTGAATATTATTCTCTGGTGTTGTTACATTTTTAATTTTCTTTATTATGTATTCAAATTTGAAGGCTTGAAACTAAAAGTCATGCTTCTGTATTATAGTATAATTCATGTGATATAGCTCTACATTTTAAGGTAAACAGAATTTAGTTCTCATTTAAATTATTAAGGAGTAAATTTATTTTAATAAATAGTTTTGTTTTTAGTTATACTTGATAAATGTTATGCAAATGGTGTTAAGTCAATATGTACAATTAAAATAATAAGTGCTTAAAGGTTCAAAGAAATCCTAGGAATTGGCTTTCGCACACTTAGAAAAAAATGTGGTTAAAACTACCAAAATATGGTAAAATTTACCGTGATTCTAACTCTTTGGAAACACAAAAAAACTCGGTATTTTTTACCGGAGCGCTTTGGTAATGATTTTAGTCTAATTATCAATAAAATATAGTTTTATAATATGCGATAAAATTTTAATTAATACAACAATTTTAATTAATCACAATTTAAAGAAACATTTTTTTCAATTTTATTTTTTGAAGGTTAAATGATAAATTACTGAATGAAAAAATTATTTATTAACTAATAGATTTTTTCATAAAACAGTCGCTATTAAATTCTTCATTTTTATACTTAGTTTACCTTCATATTAAGAAATATTAACAAATATTAAGAGCAAACAAAAAAATGACTCACTATTGGGACTTGCTTTTATTCATTTGTTTAAACTTTGAATTTTAAATTTCCAAAGAAAAAAGGATCAACTTGTTACTATAATGGTAGATTTTTATATAAAAACGCTCAATGGGAAACAGGAACAAGAAAAAATATGAATCATGATTTCTTAAAAACTGTCTTTTATATGTTTGTTGAAATGTTAAAATATTAATTACTAAATAAGAAAGGATTCCTTACAATAATCGTAGATTTTTACATTAAATAGCGTCGACATATATTCGTTGGTACTAAATATAGTTTATTTTTCCCATTATAAAATGTCAATAGATACTGTGAACAACCAATATCATTGATAACAATTTTACTGAAATGCTTCTTTTTTTCAGTTCCTTAACATTAAATTCTAAATCTATATATATATGAAAATGAATGCCTGTCAGCTTGCCTTTTATAAACTCCTAAGCCATCCGACCGAGAGAGATGAAATTTGGTATACTGATAGTTCGAAGCACGGAGAAGGACACAGTTGACACTAGAATATTCTACTACTAACCGTTCGAAAGAGATGAGCGAAAAACGAAATGAAATTTTCGGATTGGTTAAGCGCGTTAGCCAACGTCCTTAATTAAACTACAGACAATTCCGTTTTTTTTTTCTTCCAAATACTTTAAAGATAACATCAATGATATTTGCTATCTTTCACATCTGTTTGATAAAAGAAAGAGTTTATTGCAAGTTTTTTAATATTCATTTATCTTTTAATTTGCTATATCAGGTAAATTCAATGAACATCGTTTACGTAGTAGCATGGGAAAAATACGTCACTAAATTAGTATTTCTAATTTTATCTGAAACCACGTGATTATTTTGGTTATACTAATTCCTTACTTTATAATTATATAATTATAGTGTATAATTATAAAGTAACTTTTATAAGTACTTTTATAATTATAGTACAATATATTAGTATTTTTATAATTATAGTATAAAATGCTTCTATAAAAGTAAATAGTAATTGAAATGGAAAAAAAATATAAAAAAGCAAAAAGTTGTGGTCACTTTATTACGATCACTGGCTACCCATTGGCCAAATGCTTTTCCTTTCTGGATTGACTGCGTTAAATGCCACAATATTTCAAATCATGAATTGCAAAAACTGTCTTAATTGGTCGTCGAATTGGTTTTCGAATCCTGCCTATGTACGTGTTTCAAGAAGTTAAAAAATACTTTTCCTTTTTCAGTATTCATATTTATATTGAAATCACCGCCAAACCAATAATTATAAGTTAATAATAAAAGAATATAAATATGCTTCAAATCATTATTATGTAAATACATTAAAAATTTCTGCTAATGAAAATAAAAATTAAAACATCAGCGGTTGCCATAGCAACGCATGCAATAAAGACGCATGCGCACTGTTTACTATTACTCTTGAACTCAGTTGAAAAGTGTGATGACGTCCAAATAAGTTGCGCACGCCGTCAAACCCAAAACAAAATCCATTTTGTCAATGGGTAATAGTTATATACTGAAATGCAAAATTAATGGAAAAGTGGTACTAATTAGTTTAGGAGAAACGTAAAACTTCGCCATACAATTATTAACGCCAATGATGCTTAATTAACTTAGTTATTAGATGCATATTGAAATAAAAGCAATAAGCTATGTTCTAAAAAACATAATTAATGGAGCAAAGGTGTAGAGGAATTCGTGCAGCAGAACCGTCAACCGTTTTTATTGATGCTAATAGCTTAGCCAATAAAAGCTTAATTAATGTTAGTAATGTGTATTAACTAAATTTAAAAAAATAACCTGTGTACCAAAAAACAAAGTTAGTGGAAAAAATAAACTTATTCGTTTCGGGGAACCGTAGAAAATTGCCTTATAATTATTGACACCAATGCATAATTAATTTTGGTACGACATATTAATTAAAATTAAAATAATAAGCTATGTGCCAAAAAGCAAACTTATTTATGATATTATGGTGCAGTTTTAAAAAGAAGTCTCCGTCGGATTTTCCGTAGTTTTAGAAAATATATTCCCAGTGGTAGAGATAGAGTATTAATATTTTTATGAATTAGAATCAAAAGAAATTTTTTCCACCACTACTTTTTAAATAGTATATTAAAGATCTGATAGGGAATGTTCATGCTCTAAAGTTCTTATCAAGATCTAATAAGAATTCTATTTAGTTTTAAAATTTCGGCTTAAGTTTGTTGCCACTTATGAATGCATTTCACAAATAACTCAAATGTTGAAGGGTTATGTAATTGGTACCGATATACTGATGTAGGTACAAAGTATTTTATTGATGTATTTGGTAATTATTAAAATAGCACCAATACTGAGCAGTTTTAATACTGATACTGACAGAATAAGTGTCTTACTACCCCTTTGAAAGTGATATATACCGGTGGAAATTATCCGATAGTGGTAAATTTTGACTATCATGAGTTTCTTGCGAGCAATAGCATCATGCCAAGTGATGCTGAATACTGTTAATCTCTATTTTAAAAAATGCTTAATTTAATAACGCAAAGCCACCGAGAAGGGTAACAAATAATAATAAGTAAAAAAATAATTGAAGTTATTTTAGCTTAATTAATTGCGTCAGTATATTCCTTTCAGTTTTAAGCATGATATCGTAGTGTTGTTCAGTAATGATTCATTGCTCTTTTATTTACTTTTTATTCGTCCCGGACGAAAAACTGATATTTAACTAGTTTTTTAATAAAAGAAGGATTTATTCACATGTATAATAATGTTTTTTCACATAATGTTGTGTCACTATGTGCCGTTAGTGCCACCAATTCGTGATTGAATTATATACTTTAGTTTTTTTATTATGAAATATCAACGTCTAGATTTCTTATCATGAAATATCAACGTCTAGTTTTCTTATTAGTAAATATCAAATGTAAAGGAAGTATTATGAACAAACATAACTATGGATCACAATTTTCGAGAAGCTTTCTTTCATTTAATTGCTAAAAAATTGTACTTTAAATAATTATATGAAAAACAAAAAGGATTTATTTGTAACTCTTATAGCAGATTTTCAAGCAGCATCACAACTTTGTTATTAACATATGTTACTGTGAATGATCGAAATCAAGAGAATGTGACTTTCTCCAGTGAATGTCAACAATCACATAGTCGCTTTGGTGAATGTCCGAAATATTTGTTATATCCGATTTAACATTAATTTATTTGTAGATATTATAATATTTATTTGATATTTTAATATCAGTTGAGAATAGATTAGGAGAAACATTAGTGTTCGGAGTACCCGTTAAAGGCATACTGGACAGTTGCACTTAACCTTGAAACACATTGATGTAGGGCAGTGTTTCCCAAACATATGACTTTTGTGTACCCTTTCTAAATTTTTTCGCAACGCTGTGTACCACTAATAAAAAAATGAATGTATTTTTTTAAAAATATGTTTGTTTTTCTTTTTTGGTACAAAGTTGTATTAATAAGTTTATTTCAGAGATGTCAACTTGCTCCGGACACAAATAAATATTTTCGAGTGGTAATTTATTAATTATGATTCTTGGTTTAATAAATTCAATTTATCAGATTTTTATTCACCACTATTTCTAAATAATTAGTAGTTTTATATATTCACCACTTTATTATAGTTAAGTCATGTTAAACCTTTTAAAAAGTTATCAAAGTTAGTAAACTATATGCAAATTTTAATTTGTAGTTATTTATCGTTTGTTAAGTTAATCAGGTGTGTCCGGAGCAGTTGGCTTCTCTGTTATTTGTATCAGTGAGAAGGATGATATTGTTTTTGCTGTGATAAAAAAATTTGCACAAAAGTTAAAAATCATAACTGGCTGTTATTGACACCACTAATTATTAACTATTAACCCCTTAACGATCGGTTAATTTTCAAGAAAACGGTCATAAAAGTGCCTATTTTCCTGGCTTCTGTATTTGTATTACGTATTTGATTAGTGCTGCAACTAGTTTAAAATAAACTAACTATCTACAATTACCTTAAAATATTTTGGTACTGCCATCACGTGTGTGAAATGGGAAATAAAAGGTTTCCGGGCAAAAGAAATGAATTAGTTTTATTCTTATTGGCGCGTTACTACTGAACACTCCAGCCCGTCTATATCACGGGAGCGAAAAATAGCGGGTGAAAATTCACCCCGTCATTTTCACGGGAGCGAGAAGGAAGGGGTTAACTCAGCAAAAAATAACTAATACAAAAATACGTAATTGTAAATTTTCATGGCTAGATTTGCTTTTAAGGTATCCTTCCGTACACGTTGAAAAAGTGAATTTTAGCCTAAAATGACAATTTTTTTTTTTAATATTACGAATTTCCGTTTATTCTAGTTTTCAAAATAGTTTAAATTTTAACTGTGCGTCAATTAAAACAAAAGTTATGATTAAAAGAATATTAGTCAATGACTAAAAAATGAAACCGGAAATAGCATTCCGAAACCGGAAGTGGGACAAAAACAGTTATATTTATCTTTATTTTGGGATAATTATCTTTCTTTGACTTAAATAATTATTATTTTAATGTTGCTAGAAATGAACCTCTCAATTTATCATTTATATTAGTAGCTTTAATGGCATTATTTGGAAATTTGTCCCTAAGGAGGTGTTCGTTGAATTGCAAANAGCCCGTCAATATCACGGGAGCGAAAAATAGCGGGTGAAAACTCACCCCGTCATTTTCACGGGAGCGAGAAGGAAGGGGTTAACTCAGCAAAAAATAACTAATAAAAAAATACGTAATTGTAAATTTTCATGGCTAGATTTGCTTTTAAATAAAAAAATTTGAAATTTTCGTTTGTTGTAAGATATTTCGTATAAGAACGCGTATCTCCGCTAAACTGTTCCCGTAGCCCTAGGGGTACGCGTACCACATTTTGGAAAACACTGATGTAGGGTATACCCGGCAAATGTATACCGGGCAGTGGCACTGAACCTTTAAAACATATTAATGTCGTGCATACCGGGCAAATGTATAACGGGCAGTGGCACTTAACTAGATCTTGTATATATTTCGGACATTCACCAAAACGACTGTGTGATTGTCAACATTCACCGGTGAAAGTCAACAACCACCAATTTCGGTCATTCACAGTAACATGCGTACTCAAAAGAGTAACAAATATTTAAAGTAATATTATATTTGAACTTACCGGAAACCACGACGACAAACAAAGCACATGCAACGAACACGAAAACAAAATTCGCCATCTTGATAGACACAAATAAAAATAGACAGTAGATTTCACAAAAATTACTGCAAGTGAAATATTTCAAGTAATTTGAGAAGAGAGCGTTGCTATGGCAGCCGATAATTTTTTGCTGATTAGAATGATAACTATCGGTTTTTTATTCCGGAAAAAAACCTTCTATCACGCAACACATAATTGAATTTTAGAAACATATTTTTTCTTCTTGAAATCACGACTAAACAAGTTGTGAAAAAGGAAAACGAAACGATGACTTTCACCTAATATTATCTTTAATTGTTTTAAAACCATTGAATAAATCGTCTATAAAAAATACATTAATAGAAGACATTTTGAAAAGTTTAGTACTTTATTTGTGTTTAGTGTTGTTGTTGGTATTAATTGGTCCATGAAAATATTAATTAATGACGAAAAAAGTCAATATATCAGAGCAGCCCACCCGTAAATTCTAGCCTTCCTTTATAATTTAAGTGATAATTAAATAATAATTAAATAGTAAATTCTTTTCAGTTTCGCTAGCAACTGAAAAGAATTTACTATTTAATTGCTATTTAATTATCACTAAAAAACACCACAGTGTAAAAAATTCCGGATCAAATTACAGTATAAAGTACCGGCACTTTGGGCTCATCATCCGTAAAATCCATTTTTACCGTAAAATATTATACCGTAATTTTTGCAGTAATATTCATTTCATTAGAGTGATTTCATTATAATTTTTACTGTAAAAATTACAGTATATCAGATTTTTTCTTCCGTAACATGTTCAAGTAAGAATTTTACGGTAAGAAGTACCGTCACCCAGAGTGCCAGTGCTTTTTACCATAATTTGATCTGGAATTTTTCACACATTATGCTGATGAAGTCTTTTACGCACAGAGTACAAGAAAGAGAAGAACACCCTGAATAACTTTGCTTTTAATGATTATATTATGACGTACTTGGACTCTATCTCAATGGTTCGAAGGCCTAATCTTGTAGTACTAATTAATTAGGGCAGACGATATTAGGCACAAAAGCGTGCTTTCTCTGAATAAACAAGCCTTTTTTTTCAACGACGGATTCGGATTTCTGATACTCAAAACATAGGGGGTAGCCACAATCTGTAAAAAATGGTCCCCATAGTTTAATCAGTAGAGAGGTCCAAAGTTTGGACCCTTTAATGTTAATTTTACTTTTTGCATATTTCATAACATCTCGGGAACTTTTTAAGCGAACTGAAGAATTTTTGCACACATTTATAAAATTCGTTTATCCAACGATACTTCTATGCGAAAATTAACTTTTAGTAAATATTTATTATTTTATTTAATAATAGTCGAAAATAATTTGAATTGTAAAGTATACAATTTTTTGCATAATTTTAAATAAGGCAATTTTAAACGGCAAAATACAAAATTTGAACGGAAATCGAATTTCAAGGAAGTCGTATTTTCAAAATTCAATTTCTCAGGAATTGCTTTTCGCTCAAATTTCGTATTTTGCCATTTAAAATTGCATTCTTTAAAATAAGGTAAAAAATTGTATACTTTTAAATTCAAATTATTTTTGTCTATTATTAGATAAAATTATAAAAAATAATAAATATTTACTGAAAGTTAAATGTTGCACAACTTCAATGGTACATTAATGTCTAAAGTGTAGAAATTAGTTCTGTTTTCTGGAGGACAAACTCTGAATTACACTTCACTAATCAAGAATAAAGACCTACCAAATTAGCACGTTGTTGTTTATTAATTCAAGGCTTCTGTGTAAATAAGTTTGTTTTACTTTGTCAACTCTATAGTGTAAGAGTTTATAATTCACAAACTAATAATCTAAACTTTATTTTTTTTATTCCATCATACTGCTTGTGCATTTTTCTACTCATATTCTCAATTTCAAATTCCTTAACCTTATAGTTTTTGAGCAAGAAAGCAAAATGAATCGTCAGGCAAAAAGGTGAGGAAGAAGGCACATGAAAGTCCAATACCTTTCGATCGAATCGCAATTTCGAAGAAAAAAAACTTGAGTTGAGTTTATTAATTTAAATAATCCTTTATGAAGTTCAAATTTCAACTCTATGGACGTGACCTGAAAAGCGGACCACATAGTATTTTTTACTATTAGTTTAGCATAGTCTTTTACATGATAAACATGACTCTTTCTACTACAAGTTTAGCAATAACTCTCTAGCTTGTTATTAAATGTTAATTTTTTTCATTCTATCGTACTCCCTGTACATTTTTTAACACGTCTACGTATTTTTAATTTTTATTTCTTTTAGTTTTTACTCCTCAAAACTGAATATAACGTTAAGTTAAACACCCAAAACAGCGGTGAAGGCCCATGTAATTTTTAATAACGAAATAATATCGACAATATCTTAATTATAGTATATTTACAAATGAAAGTAACAAATTTTCTTACGGTAAAACTAAAGTGTCTCCGTGAAGGAAAACTTCTGCGGTTTTGTAACGTTTGTGTAGTAATCAGTATATTTTGTATATTAAAAAAAATCCTTCTTTTTTCTCCGTATAGTGGTTAATCGATTAATTGAAAAACAGAAAAGTTCAGGAGATCAAATTGTTTATTAAGTAAAGCGTGGCATCATTTAGATTTGAAATTACAGAGATGATAATAAAGTAATTTTCAGCATATCATAGGCCTTATCTATCACTGTTTCGAAGTTCCTTTTCGAATTGTATAGCATTAATTCGTAAAGCTATTAATTTTTGAAAATCATTCATCTTCATCGAAGGTAAGATCTGCTAAGGCTGACAATATCGTTTGGGGTATAGCTTTCGACGTCTTCTTCTTTTTGCTAAAACATAAATAATCAAATATAAGGTTTTAGGGCATGACATACAAAATAAAATATGTGCCAATATATATCCATATAAATCTAAAAACTTTTTGGAAAAATATCTCCCATAGTTTAGTATTTTAAAAAGTTCTGAGTCAGTTTAAATCTGTTAAGGCTGTTTTTCAAAGGCTCCGTCGTATTATGAAATTATGCTTTTTTACGAATAATATGCTATTTTTATAACTGTTGTGAGTTTTCAGCTGTTATTCTTGACTGTTAAGCCAAGTTTAGCTTATCTAAAGCACGCGCTTGTCTACGCTTATTTTGAAAATGGCGCAAAACGTCAATGTGGAGAAAAGACGCAGTTTCGTGAAAGCGAAAAGCATTCGTGATCTAATTTTTTAAAATCGGAATTTAATTTTAGAATTCGTATCGACCAATCATCGCTGGGATTATCACCCGGAGAACGCTCTACCCCCATAGCTATCACGGCCTCAATATTTATTTGTGTGAATTACGTTACATCATCCAAGATAGCCTAGTTGGTAGAGCGTTGGGTCCATCTGCAAAAGGTCGTGAGTTCGATCTTTACCAGCCGAAGACTCTCCGTATTGTAAATGGTGACTTATGCACGGTAAATCTGTCGGGTCACAAAGTCACCCATGTTCACATAACAAATCATACCTCTGGGGATACTGAATTGGAGACTTATTTTTCTCTGTTTCAGGTTAAAATTACGAGCTGAGCATGAATGAATGGATGCATGAATGCGTCCTCCCTATAAACGGGTGGAGATGTATGTGTGTGGTAGAAGCCGAATTTGCGACCATAGATGCCGCCATTGAAAAAAGAAGAAGCTAACCCCAGTTGCCGTAATGGCATGCGACAACAACAACACGTAGCGACATAATTTCCAGTTTCCCAGATCAACCCTATATATGTTAAGTAACTTTTTTTACCAAATTTTGACCAAAATGACGGTAATTTTTCTTTTTTTTAAATTTGCATAAGTAAAAATTTTATTAATATGATTTCTACGGATCTGAAAATTTTTAAAAATAATGGATAAATTGAATAACATAACGATGCTTTTATACTTTCGTAAATTCTTTATTATGCTTGCTTTTAAAATGTCAAAGTGGTAGCCTTAAAAAAAAAAAAAAAAAAANAAAAAAAAAAAAAAAAAAAAAAAAAAAAAAAAAAAAAAAAAACGAATTAGCTTTCTCGTGTACCTACTACTACTATTTAATTTTAAATAACGCAAGAGAAACGTTTTCAAATAGAGAGATTTCGCAAACCGTTTGTAATACGTTAATCGTAATTCTAACCTAATTTTCCATCCCTTATAATGATACTCGATTTGTTGGGAAAGTTTCACGTGCGTGCTGCGAAGCTAGGGATATTGTTAAAGTTAGGGGAAAACATAATGCTTTACAAAATCTTTCCTAAAAATTCGCATTCCATTTCCTTCAAACATTAAACAGGTTTTGATGTTTTTAATTTCTTTGACCTTTTTGTGATCGAAGTCAATAAAGGTCAGTCAGATTTTGATAATGTTTTCCCCCCATTTCAATTTAGAGATTTTGCACAACGTTTGTCTTTTGCAAACCATAACGTTGACTTTTTTCCTTCTTCTTTTTTTCCTATTTAGCGAATCTGCGATTTCTGGAAAATTTTCACGCATGCATTGTAAAGTTCACCCATGGTTAACGTTAGAGCTAGCGGGAAACCGTAACACTACGCAAGAATTAGTTTTACTCCCGAACACCTAGTGGATATTTTTTTAATTTTGTTTATTACAATTGTTCTTAATTAAGCTTGGTGATGATTAAAATACACTGTATAGCTTCTGAAAATTATCATAAGAAACTAATTTATTTGGAAGCACTTCTCTGTTAATGCAAAATACATTTACTTTGTTATTACAAAATATATTTGTAATGCAAAATATATTTACCTTCCGATGCGCCTGAAGATGTCGCAAAGCTTTTGTACTTTGTTAAGATTTTCATCGTACTGTTGTAGCAATGCTTTCATCGGATCGGGTATTTTCCCGTTTATTGAAAAAATTCTCTTGTCGAATTTGCCATTTTCGTTAATCAGTTGAGCTCCGCTCTGAAGCAAGACATTACAGCATCTTGAGTGACCACTGTAAGATTTAAAACAAATTTAAATGTTACAAAAACAATTGTTAATCTCTTGAATATATATATATTTTCGAACTAATTTAATTTGAATTCATAGTTTGAAAACGTAAACAAATTAAGGTATTTTGGATACAGTGTCTGCAAAGAAAGAAAAACATTCTTTAGACTTATCTGTCCAGAAATTTTTTTTGTCAGCATTTTACACTTTTAAAAAAAATCATGCAATCTTTGCTTTAAATTGTATTTGTGAACGAAGTTTAAAAAAAAAGATAGCACTCCCTCCGTCCCAAATTAGTTGCAACATTTAAGATGAAAATTTTGTCCCAAATTAGTTGCTACTTTTAAGCATGTGGAGTCATAAATAACTTCTGATGCGGTTTAGTAGATTTTTAAAAAAATTGGTCGTTTAGATAGTTTTAGTAGATTTAAAGATTTGAATCAAATTTAAAACTTACAAAATCAATTGGTAATTTATTGAACATGCATATTTTCCAACTTTTATTTGAATTCATTGTTTGAATACTTAAACAAAGCAATGTATTCCGGATACAGTGTCTGCAAAAAAGAACCGTGAACTGGTTTGGAAGAGTCCTTACAGAATGGGGTGAGACTTAAGGTCTGGTTTCTTAGGACAAGCGCCTTTTCTGGGCGTCAGCGGGACGTCAACGTCCCGCTGACGCCAACAAAATACTGGTTTGTTAGCTCAAGGCCTGGTTTCTTAGAACTAGCGCCTTATCTGGGCGTCAGCGGAAAGTTGACGTAGAGCTGACGCCAAAAAAATACTTTTTTGTTAGCTCAGCGTGAGCAGTCGGTCCAACGCAGACATTATCTCTCATTGCGCATGCGTTAATAACGTAAACAAATATTTATTTTGAATTTGTATTGATTTTGTTATTGTCGACCAGTGTTTTAGAGAACAAATAATGACTTTGTCCAAGAAAAAACACATTATAGCTGAGCTAAATGAAGAGTGCTATGTTTAATGAAGAAGCTATGTTTAATGTCAAAATCAAAATCTTGGCTGATTTCAATGTGCTGTTGGATGTTGTCCGCCATTGCTTCTGTGGTTAACGTCACGTTGTAATCCAACTGCAGTTGAGTTGGACGGCAATTGTAGTTCAAGATGAGCGTTCGATGACGTATACTATCAAACTCACAAATGGACCAATCAGAGGTTAGCGCTGATTTCCAGCTGACGGCGTCCTGTCCTAAGAAACCAGGCCTTAAGGTCTTGCGAACCTTGGATTTTTTTAACTGATACTGACTGACAGATTCGACGCCGGCAACTAAAAATGCAAAATTTCATTAAAAAAGGATTATTGCATTTTCCCCCCTTCATTTTACGATTGAAAATGCATTTGAATAATGTTTTTGCTTTAAATATAAATCATTTGAAATGTAAGGCATAGTGGTAATTACGGTTGAATAGTTAAAGAGATAATACATAAATTAAAATGAATTGAGTTTTTACCACTTTTTACGTTTTTAATCGCTTGTGGCATCTCTGTACTGATTATAATTTAATACAGATTTAAGGAGGGAATGCGTGGTAAGTTTGATGATTGATAGCATAGCACCTTAAAATCTTTGAGAAATGTTCCAACGAAATCATCAGTTTCAATTATCAGTGCAAAATATTCAAAGGTTGCAAATAATTTTGAGACATAGGGATTATTATTTTACTTTTCAAAAAATTTGTAGTTTAAGGGGCATTTTTAATTACACGTAACTCAGTAAAAGGTAAGGTGTTTTTTTTTTAACACGCATAGATGAAAAAGGTATGCTTCTTTTTGGTAAAAAAAGTAACGAAAACTCGTTTTTAAGTTTATGATAAATACTGTATCAGATCAGTTTTTTTTTTTTTAAAGTAATTTATTTTGTTTTTGAAGTGTCAAAACTTAAATACATGTGATTATTAACCGTTTTGTAATTTAATTTATAACAGAAAAAAAAATATAATTAATATTTTACTTAAAAGCATGTTGAACTTGATAATATTTCTTGCAACAACTGTGGTATTAAGAACAAAATGAAACGTGATTTCGGGATTCTTTTTCCTTTAACAAACGGCAAAAAACATTCCGGAAATCATCTATCCAATTATATAGATTAAAATATAGTATTTTGAAAAATATTTTTGTTTCGAAATGATTGTCCTTTTATCGTTACTGTGGTTTTGTATCCGTTCATACAGGCTATGAAAATAGTAAAAAATTGTATCAAATATAATATATGAAACTAAAAGAGATTTTTTTTGCTTGTAAAATTTCTATTCCGAGAATTTAAGACTTTGAAATAATAATAGCCTTTAGCTCTTAACATAATGGTAATAGCGAAAGAGAAGAAATTGTTACTATTGTTACTATAACAATTTATTTATTTATTTAGTGGTATTAATTCCAATAATGAAACATGCTCCAGAAAAGTTTAACATAGTTACAAATTAAATTAGTTATTATTCAGTTTCTCTAATTATAAATGTATTCAAAAATAGTATCATGCAATATCAGTATCTATAGTGAATATTTTCAGATCGAAAATCTTTTATTGAAAAAAAAAACGAGATTGTCCTTTGTCAGATTGCATATTTTTATTAATCATCACTTTTTGAATCCCTATATATTCGATGCAAGTTTCATAATATGATGCTCATTATTAGATAAACTTTGTTTTGAATACTAACTGATTGGTCTGCGGTTCCCCCCCCCCCTTTTTTTTTTTTTCTTATGTCTATATTTTTCTTTGTNCCCCCCCCTTTTTTTTTTTTTTTGGCTGTTGAACCCTAAATGATCGACCTCCTTTTGGCAGAGTCCCGAGATTTAGAAATAAATTTCACTGGAAATCGTAAGCATATTTACTATACATAAAATATGTAATGATCAAAATTTTATTAAATATTTTGAAGAGCCGTGATGGTTCTCAATGATATGAACAGGGTTCGAATCCCAGCGATGGCTCGTCGATAAGAATTCCACACCCAGCTCGCACTTACCACAGTGCTGTCGTAAAATATTTTCAGCCGTAGACATATCATTGGTTAGAGATACCCCTTGCGTTCAAGCTAACCGTGGGAGGTTTTCGTGGTTTTCCTCTCCATGTAACGTAAATGCGGGTTAGTTCCATCAAAAAAAGTCCTCCACGAAGGCAAATTTCTCCCAATACCTGATCCAGGAGTTCATTTGTCTTCTTTATTAGGCTCAAAATTACAAGGTTGCGGAATTGAACATTGGTAGTTGCAAACTCAAATTTGGGTTCAACGTCGGTTATGAAATAAAAATAAAATAATTATTTTCAAAATAATTAGTGAATGGATGAAGAATAAAATTTTTTTATCAAATCTCTTTATCAATATTAGTCTTAAAATAGGGTTTTATGCCAGGCAGTTGGATTCACTGGTTTGGATCGGCATGCAGTCTAGTTCTTATTTTGATTTTAGTTCATTTATAAACTAAAAATGAATGAGCTAAACTATGGTTTTCATTAAAATTAAAACTAAAAAGGAGGAAAATAAATGCTGAAAATGGTAACCAGAGAAACATACTTCTTCCTTGTTGAAATCGGTTATTTTATTCGATGTGAAATACTACTCAACTTTTCCATAAATGCATATATCCCTTTCATAATTCATTCAGTTTACTATTATTAGAAAAAATATTGTTTTGAAATTTCTTTCTTCACAGGCATTTTAATTAAACAAAATCCTAAGAATATCGGAAAAAATTAAATAAATAATGGATTATTAATTAAGTATAAAAATTATCTCAAATTTCGAAAATTATAACTGGTTAAAAAAAACTTCCTAACGATTGGAACCACTTGGACCTTTCCACTTCTCCTGAGAACACCATTCGGGAACTACTGTAATAGGCAATCAGTTTTTTTTTATTTCTAAAAGAGTGACTTGTATGAGAAGTAATGGCCTTACACTACTAAGTTGAAAAAAGTGGTGTTAAAATAAAGAATTTTTCGGTTTCAGGTTTCGAAAAACGTAACTGGTTAAAAAAAACTTCCTAACTCTTGAAACCCGTTGAACTCTTCTACGAAAACAGAGGATTCCTAAGTACTACATGATCGTGTAAAGTAATTGATTGTGCAAAAAGGATGAATACAATCATAAAACTTACTTAATGGTCACTGTGTTAAGTAAAAGATTGTGTTAAGTAAATGATTGTGCAATAAGAATGAATACATTCATAAAACTTACTTAAAAATGGCTATTTTGTTAAGTAAATGATTGTATTAAGTAAATAATTTTTAAGATTTATAAAACTTATTACATTTAGAAAACTTATTTAAAAATTTCCATGGTGTCAAGTAAAAGATTGTGTTGAGTAAATGATTGTGCAATAAAAATATATACATTCATAGAACTTACTTAAAATTGCCATTGTGTTAAGTAAGAGATTGTTTTAAAGATTGTGTTAAGTAAATGATTGCGCAATATGAATGAATACCATAAAACTTACTTAAAAATGGCCATTGTGTTAGGAAAAAGATTGTGTTTAGTAAATGATTGCGCAAGAAGAATAAATACAATCATAAAACTTACTTAATGGCCATTTGTTAAGTAAAAGATTGTGCTAAGTAAATAACTGCGCAATAAAAAAAATTACATTCACAAAACTTACTTAAAAATCGCTAAATGCAACGCTGTGAAACCTTTTTTGGTCGCACCTCCCACTGGAATACCAACATTTAAAAGGAACTGAAATTAGAATAACGAATTAAAATGTTTTAATCATAAAGAGTAAGATTCAAAATAAATTCAACCTCCAATAGATACTATTTATAAACCGAATTTAATTATTCATATGATGAACAAATGTAAAAAAAAGTAGATCACTTTAATAACTTTTGATATAATAATGCGATTTTTACTCAGTATTAATGAATTTTAAGACACAAAAACGCATTTTCCATGGATAAACATACCTTTTTTTCAACGGATTTTTTGAATTCTTGACCATCAAAATATGGAGGGCAGCTGCAATCTGGAAAATATGGTTCCAATAGTTGAGAGGGGAGAGCAATCGAAAGTTTGAGCCCCTTAATATTAAATTTCCAATTTTGCTTATTTCGCTATATCTGTGAAACGAATGGAACATAACAAAAAGTTTGTGCATTCAGTTTTAATAATTGTTTGTTTAACAATACTGTCCCCAAACACTTTTTTTTATAATTATTTAATAATATTTTAATGCTAATTTACTTGTCAAAAAAAATCAAGTTGTAAAGTTTATCTGCACGAATTTAATCTGCGTAATTTTAAATGACAAAAACCAAAGTGTGCAGGAAATCTGTCAAATAGTTTTTGAGGTATAAAAATTTAAAAATATGACTAATTTGTGACGTCATAATACGCAAAATGTGAAATTAACATCAAGAAGCCGAATTTCACTTCCAGAACACTTCCAGATTTCGGATGCCCCTTCCACAATTTGAGGATCTGGTATCCAAATCAGTCAAAAATAAAGCATGTTTTTTCAGAGAAAGTACCTTTTTGTGTCCGATTTTGTTACGTAACCCCTTTGTGCCCGTAATCGCGTATACAGTCAAGGCTAATCACATATACGTGATCAACAATTTTCCCGTCTCACCCAACGATATCACATATGAAGCAAACCTTCCTTATCCTAGCTGCTCAATATCACACGGACGTGATCTCAATACGGTACTCTAGTATTATATCTCGTATTAGAGCCGCGATGGCTCAGGGGATAGAGCGTTCTCCTTACAATGAGGCGAATCGCGTTCGAATCCCAGTCGGATCCGGCGTGCACCGACCACAGTGCTGACGAGAAATATCCTCAGAGGAAGATGGATCATGGGTTAGAGTCCCCTTGCCGTCAGACTAACTGTGGGAGGTTCTCGTGATCTTCCTCTCCATGTAACACAAATGCGGGTTAGCTCCATCAAAAAGTCTTCCACGAAAGCATATTTATCCCAATACTCGATCCAGGAGTTCCCTTGTCTTCTGGATTAGGTTCAAAATTACAAGGCTACGGATTTGAACATTAGTAGTCGCAGTATAGTATGTTTTCTATTATTAGTTACCACTTCTCTTTGAAAATAGAAGAAAATATTTTTTAAATTTTGAACTCTTTCAAAATTTTGTTGAATTCTGAGAGTTTAGTTTGGAAATAGAAATATTTAGTTAAGAAACATTTTTTTTTTAAAGCAATAATTTTTTTTACTACTTTTCGATTATCCAGAGTGTTTAAATTTGAACTAGTATTCTTTTCATGATGAAATAATGAGCTACAATTGTTTATTAAATGGTACCAGCAAAATTGGTTTTAAAAAAATTTAAAATTAAATTTTTAGCCAATTTTTAACATAAATTTAGTATAAAAGTGCAAAATTAGAAAGAAGAAACAACTGTTTTTTAGACTAAATAAAGATAAGCAATTTTATATTTTTTTCAGACGATCTATTTTGTAATTGAATTCTTTCACTTCCAAAATTTCCTTCACGCCTTTCGAAAACGATGTGCTCTTCCTTTTTTTCATTTTTAAATTTACAATACCTCTCCATTTAAGTCTTCAAAAAAACGTGGTTTTTAAAATGTTTATTTTACTACAAAATTTATTTAATGATAAAGTTAGGATATTATCTGTCAAATAAAATATCTTGTTTACCAACAGAAAATCTTGAAGTCCTTTCGACGCTGATAAATGAAGTAAATTGTAACCATCTTTATTTGCAAAACTGGAAAAAAAATTAAAGAATTATTTCGAAATTCAAAACTTTATAAGCACAGACATCTTTGATAGGTTAAGAATTGATAATTAGCATCCTTTTAATTTCGTTCAGAAACAAAAGAAGAGACAGTTTAACCTAATTAAAAGAACAGTTATCTTATTAATCATTTTGCTATGGAACAAAGAGAAGACAGGTGTGCCTACTTTGCATCCACTAATTTGTCGTGGTTGAAAAATTGACCACTTCCCAGTGGGTAGGGAATCGGACTTCGGTCCAGAAGAGCTGGGATTTGATCCCCGACTATGCTAAGACTCACGGAATACATGCGATAAACGTGCTTGCAAAATCAGTGGAATTGAAAGTCCTGAGGTCAGTCGCTGAGCTGTACCATGGGTGGAGGAATCTGTAAAAAAAAATTGCTTTCCCTTCAGCTCTATGCTTAAATTGAGCATGTGGTCTCACACAATTGTGATGGCATGTCTTCGAATCATTCTCAGGGATGCTTCTCTGACCTTCGCCAATAGTCCATTGCGCAGCTCTTGTGCGACGTAAATAAAGTAAGCTAAGCAATCACTAACAAAACATACGAAGCTGCGACAGAATTATACTTAAATACGATCGAGAGATGTTTAGGTGTACAGTATCTATAAGACATTTGTATATTTCTCTCATATATAAAAACTATATTTCATGTATGCAAACATATATAAAATGTACGATCACCTTAATTTCTATTTGAAATCATTAGAAAAAAATGGAACAACTTACGCGTTATGCCAAAAAGTAGGTTGTCAAATATTATTTTTATAACTTACCTTAGAAGGTTTTTATTTTGATTTATCATATTTTGGAAGGTTTGAAAATCATCTGTTTCTAAAGTTCGTAAAAGCCCGTTGTAGTCACTCAAGTTTTCTTCTCTGCTTTCATTCGAAAACATCTGGAAGATAAATTACATATTTTTTTTATTACTTACAATATATTTTGGGCTATTTCTGATTTCTTATTCTCGAAGAAAATGTAAGTTAAATACATAATGAAATTAGAAATATGTCAAATGTAATTGACAGAACGGCATGCATGCTTACTCGCAGGATAGTTGATTTGGGATTTTTTTTTTACAGCTTCTGTAATTTAGTTCTTTAACCACATCAATGTAAACCGCAACAAATTTATTGAATACACATCTATCGAGTAACCTTAATCTTTTTAAGATCCACAATTTTTAATTTTAAACCATTTGGGGGCCAAATCAGAGGCAGGGCGATACCCACTGTGAACGAAAAAAATCGCACGCGCGAATGAGAGCCAGATTGGCGAGTTTTCCGTGGATAAATTTATTTCACCAATCAAGTTCTCATTCGCATTAACGAAATCTTCTCGTGCAGTGAGAACGGTCCCTAGTAAGATGGGTTGACAGCATCATTAAAAATTTAAAAGCTCTGGGAGCGAGGAGAGCAGAATAGAAAAATATTTTAAAGAAGGTCTTGGTCTTCAAAGGGCTGTGGAGTCAATCAAGATAAAGAAGCATTATAATTATGCTGATGTTGTTGTTGTTGTTGTTGTTAATTTACGTCGCACTAGAGCTGCACAATGGGCTATTGGCGACGGTCTGGGAAACATCCCGGAGGATGATCCGAAGACATGCCATCTCAATTTTGATCCTCNTTATAAGTAGATCAGTTTTTTCAATTTAAAATAAAATATATCACAAACCTTTTATGACGTAGTTGACAACTTTTTTAACTATTCCTCTAAAAACTTCAGCTTAGACGTATATGGAGAACTTTGTTTCTGCTTACAACAATATACCTGCAGCCCATTTCGATCGCCAATAAAGATCATTAATTTCCTGAGTTCGACTTGGGAGAGTTTTTATGTAAGCAAAAATTTTTTTTTAGGTCGTGGGTTCTTAACTCTTTTAATCATTACTCAAAATCAATGGCAAGATAAGATTGGTGAACGAAGGATCTAATAGAAGTGCAAAATAAATACAATGGAATGGATATCGTTAAGGGGTCAGTTAACTAATTGCAATAAAAGTTTGAATAAGGGATTATATTCGGATAAATGAGTTGAGTTTTTGAGTGTAAAAGTTATTGATTCTGGTAATTAGGTGTATATAGAAATAACTAAAAAAATAATAAATTAACCTTAAGGAACTCAATCTTACTCCTTACTAAGCTGTTGGGAACTATAATTTTTATCCCTATTTTTGTAAGCAAAAAATCCAAAACTATCAAAATGAAAGGAAAAAATAATCTGTAAGCTGAGAAAATACTTTTTCTTATCTTCAAATTTCGTCTGCCCTGATTAATTTGCTTATTTTTTGAACACCTTTGTCATGTTAGCTCATGAAAATCTGATTATTAAAACAAAAGCTTATTTTATAATTGTTACGTATTTTGCTCAGTATTTTTTAAAAATTAGAAACAATCTAATTTACCTCTTTGCGTAGGGATCCAGTATGAGACATTTCGTCTTCGCAAGAAGCAACAATACCATCGTCTTCTTCTAACAGAGATTCTTTGTAAGCTCGAAATTTCTCTCTAAAACTGTTGTCCATATCCAATTCAGACTCTGTATCTGATGATAATTCCTCTTCTGTCCAGTGACTACTGTACTCCGGCGATGTGTTGTCATTTTCTTTAAAACTGCTCGCCAAACTTTCACTTGATGACGAGAGAGAATCCATTGGAATTATTGTCGTTTCGTTCTCGCTGCTTGTTGGAAAACTATGCAGTGCCTGCAATGGAACTTTAGATCTTTCAATCGTTGATTTTTCTGGAACATCAGGATTAACCTCTTCGTGCTTTTCAACAGTTTCTACATGCTGCGTAGATTCCTGTACCTTGTTGTTTTGAGATTTTGATTTAGATATTTCTTGAGGTTTATCTTCTGGTGGGTGAAAAACCACGGATGGTGTTGGAGATTTGCTTGAAATGTTTGTCTTAGAGGTTTTAGCACTGTTTGCAACATATTTTGCAATACTTTTTGCACTCAACACATTTCTTGCATTCACAGGTGATAATTTAGTTGCGGTTGGACTTGCACCTACGTTTGATTTTGAGTTAGAATTTTGATGTGCACTATTTGAAACTGTGGCAATATTCTTTGACTTCTCTTCGCTCATTTTATGTGATTTCGATTTCGAGATGCTAACGGATACTTGCTTCGCGGGGATTGGCTGTTTATTTTCTGGCGCTTCTTTAGCTTTTTTATTCAGGAATTGCACAACGCGATGTCCAATATCAGGTGATTTTGAAGCACTGGGCTTTCTGGAAGATCTTCTACTTGTATGCCTTGGTGTAGCAACAACGAATTCCGAGGCTATTTCTTCAGTTATCATGCTCGCATCATTCAATGTGTCGCTCTTACAGTATATGTCTGAATCTAAGGTGCTGCTATCTTCAAGTTCGAACGATTCATCGTCAGTTTCTTTTTCAAATTCGTTCGAAACTCCTCTCCAAGAATTCGTTTGAGTCGCAGCTTCTACTAAGCATCGCTTGAAAAATTGTTTCGAATTTTTAAGTTTAACTGGGTGAGACTTTTTCGGGGCATTGGAAATTCGATAAGATGTCTCTCTAGCTGATCGTTTTCGTTTAAAAGTATTAATTTGAAAGGAACGACCTAAAAATTAAATGAAATTAATTATTATTATTATTAAAAGTATTTGAATAAAATTACATTTAATCTTTATTTTTTAATTATAATTTAAAGTCATTTTAATAATTGTTAGGGATCTATCAACCCCTGCTCGCTTCCACTCGCCAACCTCCGGAACAGCTTTTGCTCTTTTATTTTTTGCTTAGACTATGTTGAGTACATGTATGAGAGTTTAAAATATGTATAAACATGTTTTGTATCTCTTAGTATTCTATTTGAAAAACTATGGCCATTTATTCTAGATTTACCCCATTTATAGTAAGAAAAGAAAACTTAAAAACATTGAATGCCTTATAACTTTACTCACCTTGATTATTACGATGCGTTCTTAAATTCGAAATTCTCCTTTTCGTTTTCCGATTATAGTCCTGAAATAAAATTATACTGTTGCATTTTATGTTATTTTCATCGTTCACAAGACATCTTAAATCGTTCAGAAACATTGCATATAAAGAAATCGATGTAAAAGTTCAATCTTACATTTTTTAAGATGTTTTCTTTGTTTCGAAACAAGCATGCTGTACTTGTGCACCTAGCAAGCTTCTGTTGCTTTTTAGCTCCTTCTATGTAGAATCTTTAATAAAAGAAAATCATAATACATTGTGACAAAATAAATTTAAAATTTACATGTCTACGGGCTGTGGTGCAAGCGACCAAATCATCTAATTACATAATGTTAATAAATTGTTAATTAAGTCCCAAAATTGTATAGCCTCAACGTCCATGAGCCCCACATTGTTGCGGGAGTACTTTACTTTATTTAATAATTATCGATTGTTATTAATAATTATAAATTTCGGATACCTTTGAGAGAAAGATCTTGAGAAGTATTTTTGGAGGAATTCAAAAAAATGGTGCTTGGTTTAGAAGAACAAATTTAGAGCTTTATCACACATATAATGAACCTGGAATTATTAACTTCATTAAATGATAAAGAATAAAATGGCCAGGCCATGTTATCAGAATGAATGACGACCGTACCAAAAAAGAGTTTTCAATGCCAGACCAGTTGGCACACGAAAAAGAGGCAGGTTGAATTTGAGGTGGATAGATGGCATGAAAAAGACCTTTTGGTCTTAACTAGAAACTGGAAAACGCTAGCAGGAAAAAGGTTAGCCTAGAAAAAACTTCCTGAGAAGGCCAAGGCCCACCCTGGGCTGTCGAGTCATTCAGGATGACGATGATGGTAATTTTTTTAGTTATTATTATTGACTATAATCGAATTACAACAATACCAAATCGGGGTATATTAGGAAAAATATAAATATCGGATAATATGTGTATACCGGGAAAATAATACAGTTTAACACATATCTTTGTATTTTCCGTTTCTATGAACGCAAAGATGTGTGTTTATTTTATGTAAAATGTTTACTTACTTTCCTAATTTGTAACTATATAATGTTGAAGTGTTATGATCAGTGGTTGATGAAAACTGAAAAAAAAATATAAAAATAATATCAATTGTAAAAAGTTAAGAGACATAGGTTTTCAATAAAATCAACTTTAAAATATGAATCTTACTAAATTTATAAGTTCTTGGGCTACTGACTCCACTAATTTCTGAACTTCAAATATCCGTAACTTGTTGGTATCCCTCGGGTTATCATCTTCATAAGCATTGCTGCGTAGTAATAATGAATATCATTAAAAATACACATTTAAAGCTGCCTTCTCAAATTGAGACTTTCCAAAAAAAATGAAAAAAAATCATAATTATCTTGAATGAATTTGTCATCAAATTAAATACCACGCTACTAGCATGATTACCTCGCAGTTAAATTGCTCAATATGCACAAATTTAAGGGAAAGAAAAAAAATTAGAGTGCGAAATCATTGCAAATTCATTGCTAAGAGAACAAACATTATATGGTCGGGAAAGCCTGGCTGGTAGGACGTTGGACTCGTGTTCGTGAGAAACGTGAGTGCGAATCCCGCCGGCCGAAGAATCTCCGTGCATTAAATGGTGACTGGTGCTTGTTAAATCTGTTGGGGTCACGAAATCCTCCAAGATCCTATAACAAATCAATTCCTCTAGGGGGTAGGCCGGTATAGCCTGGTTGGTAGGGCATTGGGCCCATGTCCAAGAGTTTGTGGGTTCGATCCCTGCCGATCGAAGACTCCCCGTGTAGTAAATGGTGAATCTGTCGAGTCACTTAGTCCTCCATGTTCCCATACCAAATCATACCTCTGGGAGTACTGATCCAGGAGTTTCCTTGTCTTCTGGATTGGTTCAAAATTACAAGGCTGCAAAGTTGAATATCAGTAGTCGTAAACCCAAAATTGGGTCGACTGTTCAACGATGGATGTAAAATATAAAATAAAATTCATCTAGGGGTACCGGATAGGATATTGATCGTTCTCTGGTTAAGGTCAAACTTACGATCGGTAGATGAATAAATGGAGTATTATTGGGTCCTCTCAATAAAATGGACTGCGATGTATGCGTGGCTGAGGTCGTTTTCATTGTTCGTTTTTTTTTCAACGCCCACCCGATTGACATTCGTCATTTAGGTATTAGAAGGGCAGATGTGATGGCCACACTTTCAGAGGCACCCTATTAGATGGACCAACGTTTCTCCCACAGTAAGGACAGATAGTACAGAGAATGATATGAACATCCATACTTTGTCCGGGATTCAAACCCAGGACGTTTCTGATGTGAGGTCTGCTCCCTGACCACTACACAGTACATGCAGTGGTTAGATATTCATCATTGACATGATGAATATCTAATAAATACACGGTAGAAGGGTAGTAAATTTACGTTAGTAAGGATGTCGATATTTAATAAGTACTCGGAAAACTCAGTTCTTAGAAAAATTCTACAGGTGTATTAAATTCATATTAATGTTATTAGAAAGCTTTTTTTAATAAATAAATAAATAAATAAATAAATAAATAAAGCTTCCTCGAAACAGCCTGTTGTATGATAGAGGAATCATAGTATGTAGGACTCCACTATTTCGTCACCAACAGCTATGGCAATTTGGTCAAAATTGCGCTCAAGCTATCTTTACTTCCCAAACAAGATGGCACCCATCGATTGGTGGGCTTTAAGCCACCACCGAGGATCGAACCTCAGTCCCTTACAACGACAGTCTCTTTAACGACTGATCCAATTTAAAGATACTGCTTGAGCATTGTAGGGTCTGGCAAGACAACGCTTTCATACGAATACATTATAATATAACATTGACCGCAATACCCTGGTTGGTAGGAAGTTAGGCTCATGTCCATACGTTCGAATCCCGTAGGCTTACGAACCACCGTGCATTAAATGGTGACTGGTGAACGTTAAATATGTCGGGGTCACTAATTCCTCCAAGTTCCCATAACAAATCAATACCTCTGGTAATACTGAATTGGAGATTAATTATTCAAATCAAAGTTACAATCTGTGGATGAATGAATAAAGTATGATTGGGTCCTCCCTGTAAATCGGGCTGTGACGTGTGTGTGGCTGAAGTCGTATTCTTAGTCATAGATGGGGCGCCTCTGAAAAACAAGAAAATCTCCCTCTGATCGCTTAAAATCCCTTGGTTTCCCAGAGCAAACTTGCTGGTAATGGCAACAGGCATTAATAACAACAAATAACATTTAGTGGTAGTCAAAGATGATTTAGATTATCACCTCCTCTTTGTTATTAAGTTTTTTTAAAACTTATAGAAACCGTAAAATAATGCTCGTTTCAGAATAGTGTCTTACTTTATTTCAGATTTCGTGTCACAGACAGAAAGGCGTGGAACTTCTAGTCTAAACAAACACTCATTCAATCACTTACCAAGAAATACGTTGCTTTTGATTTCCTAGAGTAAAAGTCTTGTTTTTACGGGAAACCTGAAAAAAAGCGAAAATTCTTATTGCATTTTATGTTGATTTAAGTTAATTAATATCATAATTAGGACTGGGCTATAAATCGATATATCGCGACATATCGATTTAACGCCTATATCGGCAAACCGATACAGCAACTTTCATTCCAAGCGATGCATCAGAAATCTGATTTAAGCCGTCGAGTGAAGAAGACGATATAACGATATAGCGATACACGCAAGGACTTTCTCTTACGTTCCGATGCCAACTCGCGCTGTGGAAGACGATATTGTTTCGTTATGTTGAGACGGCCTTGACTGATGAGCGGTAGAATCAGAATCACTTTTGAGACCTTATATCGTTATATCACATGTTCGTTTTCGCACCTTCGCGATTTGAAATCGTTTCTTGTAGATTATTTTCAATG